GTAGCTTATCTCAATAATACACCATAACATATCATCAAGAGCAATATTCCTGACATGTACATCTTTATCACTTTTTAATACTTCGACGTCGTGTTCGTTTCAGATTGGATCAGAGGTGCGTGGAAGAGTTGACGGGGCGTTCGACTCTGGCTTCCTGATGACTGCTACTGTCAATGGGAAAGTATACAGAGGTGTCCTGTTCGCACCCGTAAGCGTCGCCAAAAACTCAAAACTTTCTTCCTCTCCTTTCAAGTAGATAAACAAATGAAAACTTTTCCAAGATATTGAAAAGTCTTGTGTTGAATCAGGGACCTGGGGTTTTCTCAAGAACGGCCAGCATTGTAACAGAAAGTCCACCTCTTCCTACAAACACAGTCCTGAACTCGAATCACATAGCACCGTCGAAAAACTTGCAGCAACGACCGATGGTTCTGATGTCCGAGTCAGCTCAGAGCTTGAGGCAAGCTCAACCAGGTCCACCTCCAGTTCCAATCATAAAACCAAGTCCATCTTCATTGCCTGTCAAGCTTAGAGATGATCTTCAGGGTGTGTTTTTAACATTAGGAGGACCTGGAAATGGATCCGTGTGAAAATGAGACCAAAAATAAAAAATGTAAAAACATGTTGGAAGAAAAGAAAATGTTTGTAAACACAGTTTTGTATCTTGAATTGTAGGAATCACCACATTTACAAAGGGATCCGTTCGGTTTTCCATACTTGGATTGTAAAATTTGAATCTTGTTTCTTTTGATCGTCTAGGCCATCCTTAAGAATGAAAATTTAGATCATTACAGTAGTTTCGAATTTAAAGCATTTGAACTTTTGATCTCTTAGTCGATAATTATACTTAAATTAATTGTGCTATACTTAAAAAGTTGAGGACAATCTCTCAGTCAATTTAAATCAAATATACATTTAATATATTTTCGAATTTAAAAAAAAAAAAACAAAACAAAAAGAAGGAAACAAGAAAATGTGATGTGTAGGAAGTAGGACGTTAGTTCACTGTTAGTTATGGGTCCCACACAAAGACCAAATAAAATAAAATTAAAATTAAATTAAGATTTCCTGAAAAAGAAAAAAGAAAGGACGTGGGCCCCACTAGGCCTCCCGCGCATCGCGCGCGATACTGTCGAGGTGTCAAAAAGCTTCTTTTTTGTGAAAATAATATTAAAATAAGAGAGAAGGAAATAGGGTGGTCTGTGTCAGCAGCTGTCTGATCTGTCTGCCACGTCAGCAAGTGATTGATTTATGGTAGAAATAAATGAAAGAGATTTAGCGAGAAAGAGAGAGAGAGATAGTGGTGTGAATTGATGGGGCTTTCTAATGTTACCGGTCGTGTCGAGTTTGTTGATGTGACAGATGACCTTCCCATCTCGCTACGTCATCCACGTATCCTCTCTGACTTTATTCGTACGCTTCCGCCTTCTTTACCTCACTGCCCCCAACTCTTCTCCTCTCGCCACGTGTCTTTTTTATTTATTTATTTATTCTGTTTGGGTTTGCTTGTTCCTTCATGGGCCTTTTTCTCTTGGGCTCCCACATTTAATGGGCCTCATTCCTTTAGGACCATTTTTTTTTAGTTGAGTTTAGAAGGAATTTGGATCGACCGACCCTAGTTCCTAAGGGTGTTCGTAGATTAGATCGAGTTGGGTTGGGTCGTTTTCGATTAGATTGGGTTGGTTTGGATCGAGCCCGATAGACCTAACTCAATTGTTTAGATAGGGTTGGGTTGGGTTGGGTTGGATTAGATTGAGTTGGTTTGGTTCAATCCGATATAGCTTTAGGGAAACCTACAATTGTCATTTATTTGAGCTCGAGAGAATTCAAATAAGTATGAATTAACATCAGGGTTTTCAAATCGTCAAATTTTTTTAACACCGTTAGTTAAACGAACCGTATGAGAAGTTGTAAGTATACTATCTTCAGTGTAAAGTATCCAATTATTTTGTCGGGTCATAATTAATTGTTTTGTGAAGTGTCTCGCTTCTATAACTCTCGAACATATTAAAAGATTATCGATATTGCTATGTAGGAATCTCAACTCAAATTTTCCAAAATGTCACCTAATTTGGTAACTTAAAAGATTTTCTGATGAGAAGAATAAGGTAACTGGTTTATCGACTTAAGGTACAAATTTACTCGAACATAATTCAGTTGTAGAATGACCTACGTTAGTTCCAAAATTAGTTTATTCAACACTAAGATTTTTTTGGTGTGAAAATGGTTGATTCGGCCAAGGAGAATACAACAATTGACAGACCTAACTTTGATGGTTTTGTCTGATATATTATACTTCATCGAGAGTTCAGGTGTTAATTCCCTCCCTTTCGTATCAGATTTGGCCTATTTGTTTCCCTCTCTAACCAATGTGAAATCTCACAATCCATCTCCCTTGGGGTCCAACATTCTCGTTGGCATGTCACCCGATATATAGTTCTAATGTCATTTGTAACACCCCAAGCCCACCGCTAGCACATATTGTCTGCTTTGATCCGTTACGTATCGACGTCAGCTTTAAGATATTAAAACGTGTCTACTAGGAAGAGGTTTCTATACCTTATAAGAAATGTTTTCATTTCCCTCTTTAATCAACGTGGGATCTTGGTGGATTTGGGTTTGAATGGACCTTGTTGTGCATTGTATTTACGATTATTAATTTTAGCCTTTCTTCGCTAAGAAATTATATCGATTGTCATTTCGGGTGGTTTTTCCTTTATTTCATTCATCAATGAAATTGTTTCAGTCACTTCTTCCGTGTAGATACTAGCAGACGAGAGACATCTTCATGGAGTCGAATTGCTAACAGATCAATAGTTGGGCAGGAGATTACCACCCGCCGTCCCATTAAACTGCATCGTCGCATAAAGACATTGATTGTTAGAATCAATAAATATGCATCGTTAAGTTTTTTAGGAGAGCGTTAGTATGACGGTCCAAATCCACACCTAACAAATATTATCTTCTTTAGCCTTTTCCTTACCACCTTTCGCTCAAGGCTTTTTTCGAAAGAAAGAGGTTTCCACACCCTTATAAAGAATGTTTTGTTTACTTCTCCAACCGATGTGGGATTCCACAATCCACCCTTGTTCGAGGCCCAGCTCTTCGCTATTACTCGTTTCTCTCTCCAATCGATGTGGGATCCCACAATCCACTCCCCTTCGAGGCCCAACGTCTTCACTGACACACCGTCCAATTTCCATTCTCTCCCCCCCTTCGGGGCCCAACATCCTCACTAGCACACCACTGAGTATCTAGCTCTAATATCATTTGTAACAGCCCAAGCCCATCGCTAGCATGTATTGTCCTCCTTAGGACAAACCAGACAATATCTACTAGTAGTGGGCTTGTGCTATTACAAATAGTATCAGATCCAGACACCGATCAATGTGCCAGTGAGGACGTTGGACCCCTAAAAATGGTGGATTGTGAGATCGCACATCAATTAGAGACTGGAACGAAGCACTCCCGTTTTAAAATCGTGAGGTTGACAACAATACGTAACGGACGAAAGCGAACAATACATGATCTCAAAGCTATAAAAATTCAAGGTTAGTGATCGATATAATTATATGTGATAAAACATTCGTTTACGGGTATAAATTAATTTTTTTCGAGAATCGTGGTGGGAAGAATGAAGAACTCTTTTGACTTATAAACTACAAATCTTTCTCTAAATGTTCAAGTAATCTTCAAAGATCCAACTGATACTTTAGTGGCAGCTAGCAGACAACCAAAATAAATTAGCACCTGATTGGAATCTTCAACAGTTTGATTTTGGAGTAAATTAATTTGGGATAATGAAAGCTTTTTCTCCTAAAAAAGTAGCAATCATCTCTAACTTTTGACTCATTTCTTATTTAGCAAACACAAACAACAGCAGATCCAAGATTTGCCTCGGGAGACTCGAAGTTAACCGCTCTGCTTTTGGAGATGATCGAGATTTTACTCGACGTCTCGAGCCATCTGGGTCAAGCATCTCTTTTGATTTATCTAAGTTAAAATAGAAGCTCGAATGAAAACGAATATTTCATATGAAAGAGTGTGCATCATGAGTTTTCGAGCTAGCTTATGTGCACAAGACAACCTACGTGATACCTCGTCATTTGGGTATCAAGGAAACTCGAACCTTTTACTCAACTCACGACACTTATTGATCATAATGGACGGATATCCACGAGTGCTCAAGCTATAGCAATAACCTTTTACTACACTCACAACACTTGTTGGTCAAGCCAATTCTCTATACTGTAATAACGATATTGTTCGTGTAACAACTCAAGTCATCCGGTACCATATATTATGTTCTTTGATCTTACCTTCAAAATTTAAAACACGTCTACTAGAGAGAGATTTTCACACCCTTATAAAAGAATACTCCGTTCTCCTCCCCAACCGATGAGAGATCTCATAGTTCGCTTTCCGCCTAAGTCATCGTTCGTGATCATTACGTTATCTTTTCCAACTCTAATCGATTAAAATCTATAATTCGCTCTTCTTTCAGGATGCCAACAGGTAAATAATGATTGTTTTGGGTGCATATGAGCAAATAATTTGTTCTAAAGATCCCATTTTCATGCAATGAGTACAAACTTACAAGAAATTTAGCTTCATTATCACATAGCAAAAGAGTTCTTGATTGAATATGCAATTTGTTGTTATCTCATGGATCTGCCAAACCAAGAAACCGACAGACAAAACAGCAAACAACAGCAGCTCAGCTCAGCTCAGCTAGCTGTGAACACAAACACAAAGCATCTTTGTGTCTTATTTTTTTCCTTGAGTGGAAACCCTTCTTGTTGTTGTTTATGGAAAGGAAAAAAAAAACAATTGAAAAAGAAAGAGAAATGAACAGTAAATTAAAGATGGAGTTGATAGTAGCAGTGAGTTAGCCAATCAGATCATGAAAGCTGGAGGAATGTCACTTCAAACTTGGAGAGACAGAGCTATATGACCTCTACAAATACAGGCTAGAGCTTAGCCTTGTCAAATCCTTCTATCACCTGTTCTTTCATCCACATTTCTCAAAAACTTTCTCATTTCTTTACTCTTTTTTTCTTATATCTTTCAATATGTTAGAAAAATCTTGTAGAAACTTGTGTTTTTGAGTAAGTTTTTAGGCCAAACAATGGTCTAAAACATGTTTTTTCTCTGTTTCGTGCTTGTTTTGATGAACATTTGATCTATTATTAGATGATATAATATCTTATTCTATAGATTGTTCATCGTTCTAAAAGGGTTCGCTGAGTTTTTATATATAAAGTGAGTTTGAGAGACCAAACGAAGATCTAAAACTACCTTTTAATGCATTGCTTGCTTGTTTCGATGAACATTTAATCTGTCATTAGATGATATAATATCTTTTTTTATGGATTGTTCATCGTTCTTGAACGTTTTTCTTACGATGAGCAAAATGGTTTGTTTTTATTTCTACACCTAGTTTAATGGGCCTAACAGAGGTCTAAAACTATTTTTACGTGCTACTTTCGATGAACATTTGACTTGTCATGAGATGATATAATCTCTTATTCTTGAAGGTTGTTCTTACGAGAAACAACGAAAAAATAAATATCAAAAACTTTCCCAAATGAGTAAAAGGGTTGGTTAAGTTTTTATATATAAAATGAGTTCAACAGGCTAAACAATGATCTAAAACTATCTTTCCATAAACATTTAATCTGTCATTAGATGATATAATATCTTATTCTACAGAATGTTCATCGTTCTTAAACGTTCTTCTCGAAAATTTTCCCCAAGGAGCCAAAGGGTTTGTTAATTTTTAGATGGAAAGAGGCCTTGAAGCACTCACTTTAGTTTAGAATGAGTATATGATGACAGAAATGGAATCCCCCCTTGAATTTAGCTGCCTCATAACATGTTTTTTTCTTAGTATCATCATTATTACATCAGTATCTTTTTTCTTTTTCTTTTTATAACCTAAGCTTTCCTCTTACTCTCTCTCTAGGGATTTTAAGTTTAAGACAGAGAAAATTCAATCTTCCAAGCTTTGGAGTTTGAAGAAATTTGAAGAAATGGATGAGTTTTACAGGCTTAACAACCCTGTCATGTCCTCTTATTCTAATGGTGTTCTTGGAGGTGAAGCCATTGCTAGCACCAGCTGTGGTGATATTCATGAAGCTCTAATGGTGGATGATGAACTGCTTCACCTTGAAGCAGAGCCCACCACTGGCTTGAACATGTCTGACATGATCAAGACTCAGATTATCAACCATCCCCTTTACCCCAAATTGGTTTCTGCTTACATTGAATGCCAAAAAGTTTGTAAATCTTCTTGTTTGAGGTGTTTTTGGATGTTTTTAGCAGTTTTTGAGGTTGTCTTGTGTTTGAATTTTGTGGTGTTTTGTGCTTGAAATGAACTAGGTTGGAGCTCCACCACAAGTGGCTTCTCTTCTTGAAGAAATTGGCCGTGAAAATCATCCTTCTAGATCTTGTATTGAGTTGGGAGCTGATCCTCAACTAGACAACTTTATGGTACTTTGTTCTTCAATTTCTTCTTGTTTTTTCAATCATTCTTGACAAGGAAATCTTAATGACTTGTAGTTTATATCTTCCAGTTGTGAAATTTATGTATTGTTTTAGTCTCTAAACTCGGGTTATTCCGTTTTGATCCCGAGCCTCGAGATGATTTGTAGAAAGAAAATGCTTTATTTATTCATGGGTGAACAACGTGTGTGGTGACGTCGACCATTCGGTGAGAGATCCTACATTGGTTGGAGAGGGAAACGAAGCATTCCCTGTAAGGGCGTGGAAACCTCTCCCTAGAAGACGTGTTTTAAAATTGTGAGGCTGAGGGTCATAGTGGATAGTATTTGCTAGCGGTGGGCTTGAGCTGTTACAAATGGTATCAAAGCCCATCACCGAGTGGTGTGCGGTGTGTTAGCGAGGACACTGGGCCTCAAGGGGGATAGATTGCGAGATCTCACATCAGTTGGAGAGAGGAACGAAACATTTCCTATAAGGGTGTGGAAATCTCAGTCTAGAAGATGCGTTTTAAAACCGTGAGGCTGAGGGTCAAAGCTTACAATATCTGCTAGCGATGTATTTGGATTGTTACGAATGATATCAGAGTCAATCACTAGGTGAGGTGCCAGTGAGGACACTGACCCAAGGAGGATGAATTGTGAGATCCCATATCGGTTGGAGAGGGGAATGAAGACGCGTATTAAAACTGAGGCCGAGGTTCAAAGCATACAACATCTTCTAGCGATGAGCTTGGATTGTTACAAATTGTATTAAAGCCAATGACCGAGTGGTGTGCTAGCGAGGATGCTGGGCTCCAAGGGAGATGGATTGTGAGATCCTGTTGTAGAGAAGAATGAAGCATTCCCTATAAAAGTGGGAAACCTCTCCCTAGAAGACACATTTTAAAACCGTGAGATCGAGGGTCAAAGCAGATAAAATCTAGCGGTGAACTTGGGCGGTTACAAATGGTATTAGAGTCAGTCACCGGGTGGTGTGTCAGCGAGGACGCTGAGTCCCAAGGGGAATGGATTGTGAGAGCCCACATCGGTTGGAGAAGGGAACGAAGTATTTCCTATAAGACTATGGAAACCTCTCCCTAGAAGACGCGTATTAAAACCGTGAGGTCGAGGGTCAAAGCTTACAATATCTACTAGCGGTGAGCTTAGACCGGTACACTTGGCCATAATTCAATAGAGAACAGCTTAATTGACAAAAACTAATGGCGGTTTTCTGCTGTTTTTGTTTTGATTTCTAATATTTTATCTGATAATTGATTCTTGTGAAGGAGTCATACTGTGAGGTTCTTCATCAATATAAGAATGAGCTATCCAAGCCATTTGATGAAGCAGCCATGTTCTTGACCAACATTGAATTGGAGCTAAGCAACCTGTGTAAAGGATCGTTTACTGCAACGTCCGAATCTCGCTCCGCCATCAACGGTACTTCCTTCTTCCATTTTGGCTTTAAATCACATTGCTACTTTTGTCGAACAACAATTTTCGCGTTATGATCTTTATCCTTATCGCAATGACGAATCTTGTATGAACTTTAATGACAAAGTTGTTCGTTTATGAGGATTCTACGGAGAGTGGAAACTCATAAACTGTAATGACCCAAGCCCACCGCTAGCTAATAGATACTGTCCAAACATGTTTGTTAGTGAAATGTTTCCACACCCTTAATGTTTCGTTATCCTCCTCAACCGATGTAGGATCTCAAAATCTACCCTCCTTCGAGGCCCAGGATGTCCACCCCCCTTCAAGGCTCAGCTTCCTCGTTGGCACATCGCCTAGTGTCTGGCTCTTATATCATTTGTAACGACCTAAGTCCATTGTTAATAGATATTGTCCTCTTTGGGCTTTCCTTTTCCGACTTTCCCTCAAAGTTTTTAAGTCTACTAGTGAGAAGTTTTCACATCCTTATAAAGAATGTTTCATTCTTGTCCCCAACCGATGTGGGATCTCACAATTCATCCTCCTCCAGGGCCCAACATGTCCACTCCTTGCTGGCACATCGCCCGATGTCTGAATCTAATACTATTTGTAACGATTCAAGTCCACCATTAGCCGATATTGTTCTTTTTAAGTTTCCTCCCAAGATTTTTAATATGCTCCTCCTAGGAAGAGATTTCCACGCCCTTATAAAGAATATTTCGTTCTCCTCTCCAATCGATGTGGGATCTCACAATCCATCCTCTTCAGGGCTCAGCCTCCTTGCTTGCACATTGTCCGGTGTCTGGCTCTGATACCATTTGTAACAACTCAAACCTACCGCCAGCAGAGATTGTCTTCTTTAGGCTTTCCCTTTTGGACTTCCCCTTAGGTTTTTAAAACGCGTCTCCAAGGGAGAGGTATCCACACCCTTACAAAAAATATTTCGTTCTCCTTCCCAACCGAGGTGGGATCTCACAATCCACCCTCCTTCGAGGCCTAGCGTGTCCACTTCCCCTTCGGGGCTCAGCCTCCTCGCTAGCACATCACCCAGTGTCTGGCTCTGATACCATATATAACGATCTAAGCCCACCACTAGCAGATATTGTCCTTTTTTGGGCTTCCCCTCAAGGTTTTTAAAACATGTTCGATAAGAGAGGTTTCCACACCTTTATAAAGAATGTTTCATTTTCCTCCTCAACCGATATGGGATCTCACACTGTTCCATGTGTTTGTAGACGAAGTAGCTGGGACTTCAGAGGAAGAACCGAGCAGCTACGGGGAGGTAGAAACAACAGGGAATCACGAGCCGTTCAGCACACGAAAAACAAACCAAGACCTCAAAGAAATGCTGCTAAAGAAGTACAGTGGGTATCTAAGCAGTTTGAAGAAGGAATTCTTGAAGAAGAGGAAGAAGGAGAAGCTTCCAAAGGATGCAAGAATGGCTCTACTTGAGTGGTGGAGTACTCATTATAAATGGCCTTATCCTACAGTAATCTTTCAATCTCTACACAAAACCAATCATTTTGATGCACTTTTGTCTCTCTTTTTTGAAATTTTGTTGTTTATTGGTTTGATAGGAAGAGGAAAAATCAAAACTCTCTGTTATCACTGGTTTGGATCAAAAGCAGATCAATAACTGGTTCATAAACCAGAGAAAGCGGCATTGGAAGCCGCCCGAAGATATGCGGTTCATGCTTATGGACGGGGCTGGGGCCGGGGTCGGGGACGGGGACGGGGACGGGGACGGGGAATGCATCAAAGGATTGAATCAGGCCATATAATTTGATTTAGCTTTTGTAGTTTATCTTCTCTTCTTCCCCTTTGTTTTCTTTGGTTTTGTAGACTCAGAATTTCTTGACTTTAGACAGAAACACGTGAATATATTAGAACGTAAAAGTGTTTGTAACAACCCGGCTTTCCGCACACGTATGCTTCAAACTCGTTACTTGAAACTGAAGATAATTTAGTAAAATCATGTTTCGAGTACATTGGTTGAAGAGTGGAATGAAACATTGCTTATAGGGTGTGAAAATTGGGAGGCTAATGGTGATACATAATGGGCTAAAACGGACAATATCTATTAGTGGTAGGTTTAGGCTCTTACTAATGGTATTAGAGCCAGATGTCACAATCGCACTTTGATGGCAACGGACTTGCGATTGTACGGCATTCATTTCCTAGCAACAAGTGAGTTAAGTTTATTCGTTCTTGCGTCGCCTACGACCAAATAATGTATGTTTGAGTCTCTGCCCCCGGTTCAAGAAAGAAAGTTTTAGTAAACGAGGCAGAGAGATTTCGAAAGTGAGTTTTGAAAGCAAAATTTGAGAAATTGGAAAGGGTATTATATGGGAATATAAGCAACAACGCTTACTGTATATAACTATAAAAAGTTACAACTAGTCATATTTCCTATAGTACATTTTGGGACATTTTAGCCCTGGTAGGTGTAGACACGATTTTGGTGAACGGTTATACACTCTTATACTGACCCAATATGGAATGGTAAAGACTTATCTAGAATGAAAGCATGTAAAAGGAGTTTGAAACGGGCATGCAACCATGGACAAGCAAGACCGAGATATCTGTCATGCCACCATTAACAACACGCCTTGGACATGCATGACCGTGACACCAGACACCGCGAAGACGATGGGCTCCCAAGAGGGGTGAGAATTGTGAGATCAAACGTTGATTAAAGAGAGGAACGAAATATTATTTATAAGGTTGTAAAAACCTCTCCCTTACCGATAGTGTGCCAGCTAGTAATGCTAGCGAGAACTCTAGGCCCGATGGGGTGGATTGTGAGATTTCACATCGGTTGGAGAGGAGAACGAAGCATTCTTTGTAAAAGTGTGGAAACCTTGAAATCTCCAATCAATAATGTATGCCCCGGTGATCGGTGGCACGAACGAACAACAGGAAAGAAGGGGAGAGAATAATATCTAATTAGAAGAATTAAAATTTTGATTTCTAAATTTCCACTAAATTAATTAATGTTTAGTTTCTCTAATTTAAAATGGGAAACAATTTAATAAAATAAAAACCATAATTTTTTAGATTAAAATATCATTTCAATTTCAAATTTTTTATTTTTTAAAATTAACTTTCACTATTCATTTTCATTAATTAAAAAATAATATCCATTAGCTTTTATCTCTATAAATTTTGTTCTTAAATTAAAATCTCGATTATTAGGTAGAAATGAAGATCGATGTTTTCTAACTATAAACTTTAATTTCGAAACAAATTAAATCTATTTTCTAAACCTTTTAAACCTCATCGAATAGAAATTCAAAATATCCGATAAAAATCTTACTTGATTTTAAAAAATAAAAAAATAAACCAGACAGATAACTCTCCTTTCCTGTTTCTTCTTTCCAAATCATCGATTAAGTTCTCTAACTATGATCTGTAATTTTGAGACAACTCAGGCCTATCATTTAAACTTCTAAAACCCTAATTTTCGAGTAGAAATGAAGATCAAACGAGCAAAAATCTCATTTGACTAAAAAAATCGATAAAACATCGATTAGGTTTTCAAACTATGAACAGTAATTTTGAGACAACTCAGAACTATGTTCGAAACTTTTAAAACTCCAATCATCAAGTAGAAACGAAGATCAAAATATGGATTCGATCGTATAACAAAAGACAAGCGTTCTTGGAACCAAAAATGGTAGAAGATAAGGTTTTAGAATAAGCCAAAACACAAGTCCATCTTTATATATATATATATATATATATATATATATATCCCTTAGACCAATCCTTTGTTCTTTCTTTACCCTTTTGGAATTCCTCAATTATTTTTGTTTTCCCAATTTGGAAAATTATTTTTGCACGCATCCCAACCAAATCCTTTCATTTAGAATACTAAAAGACAATTCCAAACATACTTCACAATAATGCAACTATTTCAAGAAAGTTGTTCTTCTATGGCAAGCTCCTCGATCATGGGACCGAAGTCTTTAAACCCCGAGCACTTCTCGGCCAATATTATTGGGGTGTTAACTAAAACAGCTCGTTTTTCATCATCTGTGTCGTTGTCGTTATAATTATCGTTGTCAGGAACTAGGTTAGACACCTTTCTTGCAATAACAACGGAGTTTATAACTTCATCAGTAGGGTGAAACACGGACAAAATCTCGAACCCAGATGCTTCGACGTCACGTACGTCAACAACAGGGTAGAGAAATGCTCTAGCTCCGTGTGCACTCCTTAGCATCAAATAAGCTCCGGGTGCCATATGCTTCCCTAAATGCCTCAAAACCCTCCCTTTCTCTTCCTCCTCCAACCCTACCAATGCTGCTAAAAACACCACCTCGTACTCTCCAAACGCCTCCGTCACCTCCATTACGTCTGTCGTGTGAAACACCATCCGTTTTGATAAATCTGAGTCCGAGCAAACTAACTGCCCCGCCATGGAGTTTGCAACTGGGTCGATGTCAAAGTTGTGGAAAATAGTACCTATTGAGAAATATAAGACGAAAAAGTTCATGAATTATTCTTAACATGGTATTAGAGCTAGATAACAAATCTACCATAATCTATCACATCACACCTCAACCCAGCAAGCTCTCGAAGATCTTATTAAAAATAAAAATTGAAAATCTCTCACGATCTTAATAAGATGAACAGGATATTAATCTAATAGGGTATCTAAGCCGATGAACCTGAATCCGGTATTCGGTAAAAAATAAACTGGGATTATCTCGAGGGAGGCGTTTGAGAATCTCACGTCTTGTGACATAATCTCATATTGTTATGTAATACTAGTTAGCCAGCTAGCTAGCGTTTGAGTTACCCTTAAGATGAGTGGACGCCATGACAATGGAGGAAAGCGGGAGGGGGCCAGAGCCAACGAACGCAACGCTAGAGGGCACCCGACGACAATGAGAGGTAAGAATATCGAACTCGAGAAGAGAGAGCTTCAAGTAATTAGAGTAATAAGGAAAGATAGACAAGTTATGAATGGGATTCTCAAAGGAAGCCAAAATGGAAGAGAAATGAACTTCAAGAAGCGCCTCAGCGGTGGCGCATAGACGGATGAGATGAGCCCTCATGGCTTGAAGTGGCTGAGGCAAAGAGGCGATATCAAGGCCAGGGGCGGGCGGGGAGCACGTGAGGACTAGTTGGGTGAAGAGAGTGTCGACATTTTTGGAAGGCTTGAGGCTAGCAAGGCTCGAGATTTGGTCGTACAGGGCGCACACTTCTCGCAACAGAGGGCCTTCCATGGCTAAACCAACGGGGGAATGGCTGGGAATTTTTTGGTGAAAGGATTACTCTTCTTTACACACTATGACAACATCCTTAGAGGTTCTACATTATTTATGCCCATTTCTGGGTCCCACTTTTGTTTTTTTTTTTTAAACCAAAAAACACTATTTTATTTTGGTTTTGTATTCGGAATATATGTGTGGTCGGGTTGCGTTACGGGTTCGGTTATTATTAACCTTTCAAGGTCGTGTCTAACAAGTTACATAAAATTACTATTTTCTGTCTAATGGTTGTCCTTGTTTTATTTTTTTATTTCACCCTAGTTGCAGAGTCAAACGAAACATTCTTTACAAGAGCGTGGAAACCTCTACCTAGCAGACACGTTATAAAACTGTGAGGCTGAAAGTGGACAATATTTGTTAGTGGTCGGCTTGGACGATTACAAATGGTATCAAAGCCAGACATTATGCTGTATGTCAACGAGGACGTTGCCCTTGAAGGGGGTAAATTGTGAGATCCTACTGGTTGGAGAGGAGAACAAAATATTTTTCTTATAAGGGTGTGAAAACTTCTGTCTAGTACATGCGTTATAAAATCGTGAGGCTGACTGGGATATAGACAATGTCTATTGACGGTGGGTTTTGACTGTTACATTATATGTATTCCATTTATCTAGGTTGAAGGTTCAAATTCGATTAAAATTTCTTGCTACGTTAAATATAGAGTAAAAACGTCTTGAAATTCATAAAACTTTTTTTTTTCTCTCAAGTCTCATTAATTTTAAACTTTTAGCTAATTATTTGTTTGATAATGAAATCAATTGTAATCGTGAAAATTATTATTTCTCTTCGTCATTTACTTCAATATTTTATATTACTTGGGCTCGAATTGAATCAAAACGAAATTGAAGATTGAACCTTGGTCAAGATGAATCACGAGTCAAAGTGCTTAAGGCACCGAACGTCAAGGTCGAGGCAGGTTTTCTTAGCTCAAAGGTGTATAGTTTGCACACTCACGGCCCAAAATCGAGTTGGGAGGACAAATAAGTGACGGTCAAATCTAAATCTAGAGAGGACGGAAAAACTCAAGTCATCTCAACTGTTACACAATTTTGCATCTTCAAATAAACCGTTCAAGTAGAGTTTAAGATATTTAAACCTCGATGATATATCTTCCGTTCAAATTTAATTAGTTATTGGTCTAAATCGATCGATCCAGCCTTTCCAACTTAATTTCATGAAAAATGAAAGGTTGAATATTCCAAATGTCATGTTTCATGCATTGTTTTTGTTGGGATTTTCGACAAATACTTTAAATTGAAAAATAATGTAACAAAACAAACCAATTTTAAAACGACAAGTTACTAGATAATTTCATTTTTTTATGTAATATTTGATGTGACCTAGGAAGCATCGAAAAAAATTAATTAATTATTATTTTTTTTTTATATATTTCCAATTTTACTCCATTGCATTTCCAAAAATGGGACGGTAAATGTACGAGATACCCGTCAGTACTAATTGACATATACTCTTTTTCTTTAAGGTTAAAAATTTGATTCTTATCTCGTAATTACAACGAACCTAAATATTAGTTTCGAGAGATTTAAAAATAATCCAAAGAATTTGGTAGGAAAATTCACATAACTAAATATAAAATAGAAACTCGGGGTCACATAAATTAAAAGGGTCAATTTAAATAAAGTCAATGGTCCCAAACTATACACGAA